TCTGTCCTAGAATTTAGAATATGTTCTCTGATTTTGAATATTACTCTCAACTTCTGGAAAGTTCTTAATTAAAGACATTGTGTTCTGCAGTGGGAAACGACACTGCCTGAAGTTTTCTCATGATAGTAATTTTCTGTGTAGGTTTCTTTCTTAGAGATCCTGAATTGATAATGTGTGGTGTTTGTGTGCTATATTTTTTAATGCAATTTAAAGAATTTTCACTGCAAATGGCATATACAATAATTTGAAATCTTGAACTATATTTATTTTAAAATACAATTTGTATTTTCTGGATAAATGAATTACATAACTCTAATAATCTCCCTTTATAAGATATTTTTATTATATAATTGAAGATAAGCCATTTAATGTTTAGCATTCAGAGGTGGATAGCCCACCAAATGCGTCCCTAAGAGAATGAATAGGTAGGTAGACTTGGATCAGGTACTTGTTTTGTGTTTCCTTTTCCTACTGGAATCAAGGAACTGATGATGAGGAAAATGGCTTTTTGGTTTCCTACTTATGCTTTTAAAGTTTTAGGAGCCTCTTGAAGAACACTGTGACCTTTGTAGATATCATTCCAAATTTGTTAATCTCAGCCATTGCTTTTTCAGAGAACTGCAGTGATAGATATGAAACTCGATTAAAGTAGCCAAATTAACCTGACTTCCATAGGGTTTATAAATCATGGTCAGTAAGAGCAACAATATTACTGTTTTCATGACAATATTGTCTTTACTCCTTAAAGATGACACCACTGATAGCAATTTATCTATGTGCATGTTACAGTTGAAAAGATTTGTGTACAATCAATAGTTCTTCCTAGTGTCTGCAGCAAGATACCTTTACAGCTTAGAACTATGTATGAAGTTTGTCCTCAAATTATAAGTAAAGATGTATTTACATTAAAGAGTGACAGATCATGCTCAAAGTAAGCCACTTAAAATCACAAGTGGTATCTCCACTGCAAACTTCAAGTGTTCCTTTTTAAATAATGCTTGTCTGGTGTTGACACTAACATTTCATATCAGGGGAGGAGGATGTGATTATTATACAGTCCCGAACTACTTTTTGGTTCTCTATGTAATGTCTTAGAATAATACAAGCACAGTGACACTGACAACTGTGTCCCATTCTAATGATTTTCAAATTAAGGAATGGCTTCAAATTAGGAAAGCTTCTTGTTCACCTAGCTTTGGAATAGCATGATGTATGCTAATTGCTAACTTTGTCTGCATTATTTTTTAAAGATCAAATGGGCACAGTGGTAATTTTCATTAATCTCATACGGAGCAGCTAATTAAAATTTCCATTATTATCCATCCATTATCTAGTCGTTTCCTTTGTTCGGTATCAGAGCAGGGTGTTACTAATAAGCCATTCTTGCATTACAGCACTATTAAATATAGTGAGAATTAGTTTAATCTATTGAACTGTTTTTTAGATGATTTCTTTAATATTATGTTACACCATATTGATATGCTGAAGATTCTTTGACATCTTGTAATAGATATTTCAGAATTAAATACTTGTTGCTTTAATTTTTTTCAATTGTGGGAAAAAGTGACATATAGTAGAAAAAGAAGTAACCCGAGGACCAGGATATTACTGTTTCATTCTTGTAACCTTACTAATTATGTGAACTTGGGCAATCACCGTGATTCTCTATTTCTATAATGAGGGCATTAGAATAGCTGATGTTTTAAGGGCCAGTCCAGCCTTCATATGTTTTCATAATTATCAAGTATGAGTTTATGTTAAAATCCCTAAGTCCTCCTAAACTCGATAAAAGGCATTTGTTCTGCCCTAGCCAGTTTGGCTCAGTGGATAGAGCGTCGGTCTGAGGATTGAATGGTCCCAGGTTTGATTACAGTCAAGGGCACATTCCTGGGTTGTGGACTCTATCCCCAGTAGGGGGTGTGCAGGAGGCAGCCAATCAATGATTCTCTCTCATCATTGATGTTTCTATTTCTCTCTCCCTCTCCCTTCCTCTCTGAAATTAATAAAAATATTTTAAAAAAGCCATTTGTTCTAAAAGGCTATATAATTTTTTTCTTCCTCCATTAGATCGATTGCTTCCACTCCTTATAACCGTAGATTATCCTAAATTACATACTTTAAACTTGTTTCTAAGACTTGGGGGAAGGATGAGTCCCAATGTGATGGGCTGGCTGAATTGCTCCATAAATAGTATCTCAGCCTAGACCATATGAAAGCAGGGAGCTATCATTTTCTGAGCAGCTTACTTTGTAAGACAATACATATGAAATGCCTGTTTCAGGCACTTCATATTCATTGTCTTACTTAATCATCATAACAAATGTGAGGGGGCTAGGTGTTTATTACCCCTATACCATAGATGAGCAAATAGGTTTCTAGAGATTAGTTCAATAGCCAGCTCAAAGATTAGCTGGAAGGTAAGTGAGGGGGCGATGATTCAAATCCAGAAGCAGTTTGAGTGGTCCCCAGCATGCCATCATATGCTGTCTCCATTTATCTGTTCTATACTAGCATCTCTCAATATGTTGTACTGGAATGTCTCATGTAATATTCTGAAGTGAAATTTGGGAGCTTCTGCATGTTGAAACTCATCAGTCATTCACCCATTTGTTTATTCTCCATCCATCCATCCATCCATCCATCCATCCATCCATCCATCATCATTCAAGAACTATGTATTGAGTAATTACTATATGCCAAGCAGTGTTATGGTCTGGAGATGAGGTGGTGAGAAGGTAGGCAAGATTCCTGCCTCATAGAGCTTATGTTTTAATGAGGAAGACATAGTAAACAAAGAAAGTGCTAAACAAGATTGACTTATATAAAATTAACACTATAAATGAGGTTTGCAATGGTGTTGTGATGATAATTGGTGTGTGGAGGGCAGAAGACTGTTGGGCTGAAAATTGAATGATGAGAGCCAGCAATGGAGAGGTCAGGGGTCAGAGTCTACCAGGCTGACCCCCCCGCCCCCAGTAAATTCTAAGGTCATTTTGCAGGCAGAGCTTTATATAAAAGTCTCCAGGGGATCAGTAGAGCCTGTTATCCATTAATTAAGAAAGAAAGTGTGAGGATCATATGAAAGTGGTGTATGGAAGTAAACTTGCACAATTTTATGCTATAAATGTTTAGTTGCGGAATTCCTTGTGGATTTGTAGCCTTAAGAGCTGGATAAATAAGTTATAGAAATGTGGAAATGATCTCACGATGATGGTTTTACTTACTGTGCTATATATATATTGATTTACTTAATAGACTTTTTGAACATCTGTATATCCTAACAAAGCAAGAAAAATCAGGTCAATGGCCAACACATAAAATATGGACACTAAAGTAGGAAATTGTATTCCTTGTTCTGTAATTGTTATGGAAAGATTCAATAACAGCATACTTTTGTTGAGGCTCACCAAATTCAGTCACTGTTAGGTACTTGGCATACATGGACTTCCCAGTCTAGAGAGACAGACACAAATAATGACCTCTGCCCCAATGTCTTAAGTGCTATAGGAGTGATGGCAGCACAGTGCTATAAGGAAATGGAGTTTCCATGTATAAAACTTTGTCAGACTTTAATGTTTACTGGAATTTTAAAACATTAAGACATTAGGCATGATTGACAATTTCTATATTAAGAAGGTATTCTCAATAAAAAGCCAACAGTATGAAACCCTAGGGAATCCATTTCTCATTATTAATTTTTTAAAATTCTCTAATGATATGACTTTTACCAAGTGGGAAACATTTTTCTTTCCTTATTATAGCTTAGATATTTAGCGGAAACTGAGTGTAATGTACTGAGCATAAACTGAGTGTAATTTGTATGAACTTAGAAAATGGGAATCAAGCTAGAGTTTTTATTCAGAGGGATATGCTTGTAATCTAGGAAAAGGGCAGTTATGGCCATGTTTGTCTAGAAAGTAAAACTATTAGTTATTGTTACAGTGAGTGTGTTGATGATGTTTTCCTCCCAGCCTTTCCCCAAACTACTTATATAATAGTACTGGCAAGGTGGTGAAGCTAAAGAGCAATGAAATGATAATGAGTTCTAGAAATAAAATAACACCATGTATATTGGAAATTAAGCAAAAACTAGTCATGGTCAGATAAATGCATTTAATGACTTTTTAAGATTCATCCATAACAGAGTAACAAAGTTAGAAAGAAATACTTGGGAACGGAATATTTTTGACCAATTTGATTAACTACTGTGCTCATTGGAAACTATTGTTTTACATTTTAATTAAAGTAATGTTTGTTGAGATAAGCTGATACTGATATTTCAATAAACGTGGGTAATGTATAATGTCTTATATTAAATTTCATGCACTGTATTTTGTGGAATCTATATAAAAGCCTAAGCAATCAAATGACAGAACGACTGGTCAACAAGTCACTATGACGCGCACTGACCGCCAGGGGCAGATGCTCAACACAGGAGCTGCCCCCTGGTGGCCAGTGCGCTCCCACAACCAACCTCCTCCCACAACCAACCTCCGTGGCCCCTTACCCCAGCCAACCTCCCATGGTGCTATTGGCCCTGACCGCTGGCCAAGCTGAGGGACCCCACCTGTGCATGAATTTGTGCCCCAGCCCTCCAGTAGAATATAAATATCTTAGTAAGGAAAATTAATAAGATGATTGCTAACTGTTCATCCTGTGGGTTAGGGATCAACTACTGTAATATTAATCCTAACACCTGGATTGTAAATGTAAGGATTCCTGCCGGTGATGCTTTATGCAACTCAAGTCCATGTTCTATTCAGGTCATGATCACCAGTGGTGACATTCTCTTTTAAATGAGGCCGAGGAGAGCGTTGAGATATACACAACATGATTTTACCACATCAATTCTATGACCATGAATTTTTAAGTGCTAGCACTCTGCCACACATTTTTATACAGAAAAATCTAAACATATTCTATGCATTATTTTATTTGAAAACTTTTACAAAAAAACTGTGTTTTTTTTTTCTTAAATGGTATCTTTTTTTCCCCCATAGGGAGGGCTGAAAAACAGCAAACATGAATGCACTCTGTCTTCACAAGAATATGTTCATGAATTACGATCTGGTATTTCAGATGAGAAACTTCTTAACTGCCTAGAATCTCTGAGGGTTTCTTTAACCAGCAATCCTGTCAGGTAGGTGGTTCTTATTTGTTTTGATATGATTCATAAAAGTTGTACTGTATATAAATGTTGGGAATATAATCAGTCACTCATTTGAACCTCATGATTTTCTGACTAGAAATCTAATGTTAGCTAATAAAACTGCAGTATCTGATTATGAGGTTATAAGCATTTAAATAATGTTATTAATATGATTATTAATAATTTGCAGTTTTAAGAATACATATATACTTAGGTGTTTGATTCCTCTTTGATTATACAAACATGGATCCAGAAGTTAACTTTGTAATTAGATAATGATTAGTATATATTTATTTGTAAACCAAATTCAGTATATTGGCTCTATGATATTATTCCTTTTTTAACTTGATAAGTATATATAATTTTACATTCTACAAGTTTTAAATATACTACTTACACATTTCTGTAATTTAGGATAGGAAAAATACAATTATTTAAACCAATAAAAGAAATGTGATAAAGTATTAATAAACTCTTCAAAATTGTTAGAGGATTTTTAAACAAGTTTCTTGCTAATGGTATATTCCAGTAACTGATGTTCCTATATTAACCATAAAAAGCCTTTAATTACATCAAAATTAATGTTTTTATAAGGAAACTAGATTTTCAGTGTAATATGGAAATATTTTGGGATCTACTTACACAATTGCTGGACTCTTAAGTTCAGAAATTAATGCATAAGACTATATAGAAATTGTATTTTTATTTTACTCATATTTTTCTTAATATATAATGGGTTAAGATATTTTTACTTCTCTGACCTAGCCACGGAGCCTTGAAAATAATTTAGAACAGGGGTCCTCAAACTACGCCCGCGGGCCACATGCATATACAAATATTGTATTTGTTCCCATTTTGTTTTTTTACTTCAAAATAAGATATGTGCAGTGTGCATAGGAATTTGTTCATAGTTTTTTTTTTTTTAAACCATAGTCCGGCCCTCCAATGGTCTGAGGGACAGTGAACTGGCCCCCTGTTTAAAAAGTTTGAGGACCCCTGATTTAGAGCTTAGTCATTCTGTTTGGATTTATGTATAAATGGAAGTGCATCATACTACATTTGACCCTTTGACAACATGGGAGGTAAGAGTGCCCACCGCCAATCGAAAATCAGCTTATAACCTAAGTTCGCCCTCTGCATCGCTGGATTCCCAGGGCCAGTTGACCCTTATACCATGCAGCTTTGAACTGCGCGGGCATACGTGAGCCTGCGTTGTAAAAAAAAATAAAAATCTATATTTATTTTAATCTATAAGGCATTTGGCAGAAAAACTGGAAAATATGATTCTACAATAAAAATTTTAAAAGAAAAACGGTACGATGTAACTTACATTTCAATATAATCATTCAAAGTGGCTATCTTGCTATTTCTACCGGAATGCTTCTGGTTTTAATGATTTGAACAGGATGTGAGTTTTTGAGAACAGTAACTAACCGTGGTGGTGATCCCCATAACCCGCGTCAGCCCTGCCCCCCACTCCACGGGCCCGAGCCGCCCCTCGCCGCCCCCCCCACGTCCGTGTCCTGCCTCCTTCCTCAGGTGACTACAGCGCTCTGCCATAGTGCACGTGTGTGTTCCGAAATTTCCTTTAAATGGTTAACTGACTGACTGAATAAATGATTCTTTAAGAAATGACTATAGAAGGATCGAGTTTTTTCAGAGGTTCTGCGGAGGTGAAGTCATTATGATGGTGGCTTACCCCCTCGACACCGCACTCCCACCCGCTGCCCGCTCCCGGTCCCCCGCCCCTCAGTGCCGCCTCACCGAGTCCTCGTCTCTTCGCGTAATGTACAGCACTCCGCCATAGTGCACGTGGGCATTTTGAAATTTCCTTTGAATGGCTGATTGAGTGAATAAATGACTCTTTAAGAAGTGACTGTGGAAGAAGTTGTGAAATTTAGGCATGAAGGGGTTGGGGGAAGGTAGCAAAAATGCCTTTTTTTATGAGAAGGCAGGAAAGGCCTAAAATTATACGCGGGCCTTTTAAAAATATAGCCCAGCAAGCACCAGGCCACTGTGAGGAATGACGGGATCACGCACACAGCTGGCAGGTCCCGACTGGCTGGAGGCAGCACTGCTCTACTATCTGCCCGCTGATTGGCTCCGTGGGCGACGTGGGGCTACATACTTGCGTGTCGTGTGGTAAGCCACGCATTCGGCGGCAGCTCTCTGTGGAGACGGGCGCTCGCTTGAGGAACTCGCTGGCCTCCTCGCTGAACAGTCCCTCCGATCTCGCTGACTCGAGGCAAGTGCCGCTGACCCATCCTCCTGTGCCGTGTGTGCTGTGGTTACGATGAGTAAGAGTGAATGTGGAGGCCATGGTGGCTTCTTTGCCGCGAGTGGGGCCAGTGGCAGCAATGAGGGGCCCTCGCAGGGTGGCATGGCTCCTTTTCTGAAGGCGCCTAGGTCCAGGGCTCGAATCGAGCCCATTATCCCGTGTTGTGTGAACCAGCTGCTCACTGCTTCTCTGGTCGACGATGTTTTCAAGGTCAGGGGCATAGTGGTTTCCCAGGTCTCTATCGTGGGTATCATCAGGAAGGCGGAGAGAGCGCCAAACTACATTCTCTACAAGATTGATGATATGACCACCAAGCCTATCGACGCCCGCCACTGGCTGGGCAGAAACAAAGCAAAGCAGGAGCTGGCTCCCTGTCCTGTGGGAGTGTACGCTAAAGTGTTGGGTATCCTGAGAGGGTCTGCGGAGGTGAGGATCCTCGAGGTGTTGCAGATCCGCGTCCTGGAAGACATGAATGAGTTCACCGCACACATTCTGGAAACGGTCAACACCCACATGATGCTGGCGAAAGGCCAGGAAGAGGCCTACGGGCAGAGCGCGCCCTCCGCTCCGCCTGAGGCGGCGCAGGCTCCCGAGCCCTGCGAGGTCCGCCCGCAGGTTGTTCAGGCCGATGTGCTGCGTTTGATTCGCGAGTGTCCTCACCAGGAAGGCAAGAGTGTCGGCGAGCTCCATGCCGAGCTCGGCAGCCTGAGCATCAAGGCCATCAAGGATGCCCTCGAATATCTGATGGTCGAGGGCCACATCTACCCCACTGTGGATGGCCAGCATTTCAAGTCTGCTGATTAAGGCCGCGAGAAGAACCTTCAGTTTCTGAAGACCGCGGCTTCCGGCTGTGACTGAGTTTGACCTGTTGACTTTTAGGAAGTAGGTTTATTTTTCAACAAAACTCTTAACTGGCATCCCTTTGGAACCTCACTGCTTTTCCAACAGCTTTGAACTTTTCTGTTTTTCTAACTATATTTGAAGCTCAGAGGGAGATCGAGATGGATAAATTGATTGGACTTTTGTAGGCTTCACCAGCAAGCAAGTGAAAACAATCGGGTAAATTTGGGGGTGAAGAGGTACAGAAAAAGTTGAAAATTTTGTTGTGTGGGAGCTTCTTTTTGAAATGTTTAGGTATTTGGAGAAAATAGATGTAGTCACGGAGCCAGCTAAGAGACAAAAAAAAATGTTTTTACAGTTATTTTTTTTTTGCATTTAGCTTATTATAGTCATTGTTATCTCTTACTAAATATAGTAGTTGATTAATGGAAATGTGCTAGAGATAGCAGTTAGTGAACTCAAATGCTCAATTCAAGTGTTTGTTGAATGATTTAGTTTTATAACCATAGGTTTATTTTCTGTTTAAACTGCAGGGTCATCTTTGAATGCTGTTTTTCTAAGTGACTGTTTAATGGATGTTTCAAATAAGATGTAGTGAAATTTGGATTAAATTACAGTATGTTATAGTTTTATGGTACATGGATGCCTGATTTTCTTATGTTTGATGTTCTTAAGTATTATTTTAGACGTAACTGCTCAGTTTTATATATAACAAGGTTTTATTCTTATAGGTTAGGTTAGACAAACAAAGAATATGTAATTCTAGGTATATTAAGCTTAGTAAGTTTAACCAAAATTTTGTTTGAGTGTTTTATTAAAATGCTTTTGTAAAATATTTGTTGTGTGATTTTTTTTTCTAAATACACTTGAAAAAACCTTTTGCTTTGTCTTTGAGGAATAATAATTTTACTTATCCAGAATAATTTTTCTTTTCTCTGTATAATACCAATAACATATGTTATAACTTGTTTTAATAATACATTTTAGTATAGGTTATATAACTGTGTGGGACTTTTAACAAACAGAATGAAGTAAACCTTCAGTTACACACTAAAGATGGTATCTTCCAGGTTACTAATTTTATTACATTAGAAAAAAAAGAATATATACAGTTATTCTGACAGATAGAAGAAGAAAGCATCATTTGTCTTAATTGGATCACAAAAAGAAGGTGCAAAAACAGAAAATCTCTTAAATGCACCATTGTCAGTAATGCATACTATCAGGAAAACTATCTGAATATGGTCTCTCGTTGTCGGCCTTTACAAAAGCATCACCAATTCTTAAGCATTTTGAGGCACAAACTTCATCTTTTTTCCCTCAAAAGCAGAGAAATCAGAAATGGCACTCTTTTGAAAAAACCACCAATGGTGAACATACTATAAACTTGCTTTTATACTCTGTTGATAAAGGTTGCCTGTGTTGGGGAAAATCATACTGGGAGAGAGGCAATGAGGGGCATATTTCTTCCTCAGAATCTGAGTGCAGAAAGAAATATTCTAGGAGACATAATGTTCTTTTGTGATACTGCTTATAAAAATGCTGGAACCTGGAGATTAAAATCTGGTATTTTTATGACTGTATAGTCACTCTCAAAATGATCCAAGTTTATTCAACTGGCCACTGGATAGGTAGCCACTTTTCCCCTTACTTTAGAAATATTTCTCTGGAACTAGGAAAACGGCATATGACAAAGGCTTTTTGGGGCTAGCCTTTGTCCTGGGAATTTACGTTGCGATATGTACACCTGAATTTAAGGCCCAGGATCACCCCCTCTGCCTCCCCATCCTCTGAGAGGAACTGTCCACCTGTGTTCCTGAGGATCTTACTGAGGTTTGTTAATTATCCCAGACCTCCCCCGCCCTCCCTTATT